CGACGGCTTCACGGTACGCACGACTGAAGTCGCCGGGGGTGCGGCAATTACTAGAACTTTCATCGGTTCATCTTCAGTTTAAACGCAGCCTACGAGGTAACGACCCCGATGATGGCGGGCGTTACCCCTTCCCCGCCCCTCCAAACACTGCGTGACGAGGGCAATTACAAAAACTCGGCTCGGCCCGGTTCGTCTCATACACGAGCTGCAAAAAATTTTTTCTCGCGATGGCAGATAGGGCTGCCCCATTGCGAATGGCGGCAGCTTGAAAGTGACAGTTGGAAGTGGGGATGGTGTGTGACAGGTTTCGTTCGAGACAGGAGAGAGGGCTAGAATAGATGAATGTAAGGACTGACTAAGTAACGTAAATTTGGAGGGGAGAAGGAAGTGGCGAAGAACGGAAAGGATGAGGAAATGTGCTCCTGGTTTTTACCGTAGATACCTGGGGTAGGGAAGGTTTGAACAGTGATGTTATAGTAGGGATGGAGAAGGGTCTATAACTTGTTTGCTAGAAGGATTTGGGACAGAGTAGAGAAGGGGAACGAGGATACAAGTCAGGAACTTGAGGCAAAAACTGAGATAGCAGTAAAGAGAAAAATACAACACTGCGCATATAAATAAAAGTAAATTGAAACAAATCTGACATTATGAATAAAAGCAAAAGAAACTGAGGTTTTGCTAAGGAAACTGATCGATAAAAACCCTTCACCAGTAGGAGACTTCCCTTTTTTTGGAACTGATGCTTAGGTAAAGCTGAGAGCTATTAAGTTCCATGAAGTGAGCAAGGGCAAGGTAGACTGGATGCGCGGGGATGAAGTCAGCTTTCATTCCTGTGAGATTTCGAAGGGAAAAAATAGGGGTGTAACTGCTATTTACAGTTGCAGGCTGCGGAAAGCAACACTGTAGAATTGTCTGCAGTTCTTGTGTGAATCCATTCAAACTTATTAGCCCTCAGCTTCACATAAGCATAAGTTTCAATAAATCCAGTCAAACTTATTAGCCCTCAGCTTCACCTAAGCATAAGTTTCAGTAAATCCTGTTAATCTTATTTGCCGTCAGCCTCACCTAACCATAAACCTATTAAGTGCGGAAAGCGCTTACTGAAAACGAGTTTTTATAAGACAAATCGTACTCGCATAAGCTCAGTTTTTGTTTGCTTTTGCTTTTGGTTACAGGCTCTGATTTTGCTTTTTCCCTCTTGTTCACAAAATCAGGTTTGTTTTAATTTGCTTTTCTTTGTAGTACTGTGTTGGTTTATTTTCCTCTTTACTGCTATCTGCAGTTGTTACTTCGAACTCCTGACTAGAACCCTTCTTCCCATCCTTTATCCTGTCCTCAGTCCCTGTCTCCAGAGCCTCATTCGGGCACCTACCATCTTCAACCATTGTCACGCTCATCGTCTTGAACTCCTAACCAGCAACTTCATTCCTCCCCATTATCCTGTCCTCAGTCGCGCTCTCTGAGCTGTATCTAGGCAACTACCAACCAACACCCGCAACCACGTCCGATCGTCTCACCCACCACCCCCTTCCACCCCGGCCAAGCGATCCAGCCGCCAGACACTGAGCAGCGCTACCCGGGGCGTCTGGCAAAGTTCCACCGAACGGCGCCGCGAAACAGTGCTGGCAAAGATGATAGGGTAAAGCGCTGGAAGGCCAAAGCGCCATAGACCATCAGCCCAGCCGAGTCGAGTTTTTATGCATTTTTTGCAGCTATGCAATGCAGAAAACGCATATTGACGAGGGGTTGTCTGTGTG